AACCAATGCGGAGATCCACCCACGGCCTGGAGCCTCAGCCCCACCAAGGAGGCCTTGAACTCTCTCTCGTAGGTGGCAAGATCGAAGTCGAACACGCGCTCTTCAGCCTGGACTGAGTCTTTGAGCGCAGCCACAACGTCTCGGACCCACTCACGGCCGCACACTCCGACATCGACGGTGTCATCCGTCTGGCCAGTCTTGGTTCTCCGACCGGACTCGGACGGCGCGAAGACCACCGCCCAGCGGCCGGCAAAGGCACGGCCCGCCGCGGGCTGGCTGCGGAGGATGTCAGCCTCTGAGAGCTCCAGGGTATCCGAGGGCCTCGAGTACAGATCGGTTTGAAGCACCGCGCAGGCGGCCATACGCACCAGGCTGTGATTCAGCAGGTCCAGCGCGATGGCCCAGATCAGGATGAGCGGGTAGGGTAGGCCGACAAGGCCGGGATCTGTCCGCTCCCAAGCTTTCAACTGCCTCCGGGCCCGCGGGAGCAGCTGACGTCCGTCTTGAAAGGGCCCCCCGCGCAGCAAGATCCAACCGAACAGGCCGTTGCGGCCCGTCCCAGGACCCATGCCGTCGAAGAACGTCTGAGCAAACCAGTGCACCATATTTTCGTCCGCGTCTTTTGCATTGTTGGTCTGGCGACCAACCTCGACACACCACGTCTCGAAGTCCTCAAGCGCCGCCGTGTACAGCCTCCGAGTGGACTCCGCCACGGACAGCCCCCTCATGAACTGCACCCGCGAGCGCCCACTGTCCCGGGCTCGGCGGCGCCGGCTGGCGGCTTTGGCCTTAGCCGAGGCCCGGCGGCGGGGCGATCGGGAGGTCGAGAGCCTCCCCGCGCCTCCTGAGCCGGGCCCGCTCGGCGGCCCCCGTCCTGCCGAAGAGGGCGCCGTGGTGCGCGAGGTAGTCGGTGGCGGCCCCGCAAGCCGCATCGCCGCTCGCTGCCTCGTCAGCACCGGGAACATCCCGCCCAGCACGATGACGGCGGCCAGGCCGAACCAGCGCCGCCAATAAGGCAGCGCGCCACTCGCCGGCCCAGGGGGCATCGCACCCTCGGGCGGCCAGAGGCGCAACCTCGCCTAAGAGTGACGCCCACCTTGAGCATAAAGCCGACGGATACTGACCCGCCAGGGCCGTGAGATTGCACCAGACGTGACCCCCAGAGCCATCAGGGACTTGAACTTTACCCACCAGCTGTTCATGTCGACGATGGGTACAAGGAGCCGCCAGGCCCCTCAGCTCCGGGATATTCGCGTAGGAAATCGCACCCAAGACGCACCACGGAGACCAGCGAGGCGACCAATAGGAGGGAAGCTCCGGAGCCCAGAGGTCATGGGGTTCTCGATGCTCCAGCCCACTCCACAACGTTGACACTCACGAACGACTTCTGCGGTAAACAAAGCGAACTCAACCCCGAAGCGTTCTAGGATCTCAGCTCGACGAAGATTGCGGACTCCACGACGAGCGTTGCTCCAGGCTCTGCAAGGGGCCCCCAGGTGTACAGCCCAAACTCTCCCAGACCGAATCCAAGACAGGACGAGCAGCTGTGTTTTTCTCCTCGAGAGGTCATACTCGGCACCCTTCTTGATGTCAAACGGGGCCGCCGTCCGCAGCCCAGCATGTCGCACGGCGGCGGTCAACCCCGCCGCGCCCGCGAACAACTCTAGAAAGACGCGTGCATGTGAGGTGGAGGAAGGCGATGGTGTCTCTGCGTGTTCTCTGTGATCGGAGGGAGTGGACGAAGAGGGCGAAGAGGACGAGCCCCCCTCCCCGACGCTCGTGGACGGCAACCAGGGAGCCACAGGCTGTCGCTCCCTCTTCTTCTGCAGCAGCCACTCGGGGTCGCGGGCCTGATCCCCCCTCGACCCCTCGTCGGCCACATTCAGGTCCGCCGGGGCGTGTCGGACCCGCCACCGAACGCGACGGCCCACGCTGTAGGCTGCCGCCTTCCGGCACAGCGAATTGAGGACGTGTGATCGAGCTCTGCCTTTGTCAAAGCAGCAGCAGCAAACAAGATTGTCACAGAGGCTGAGAGCACGGTGCCCGTGGTGGGCGCGTGTCCGGCAAAAACGCCTCATGTGCCGGCCACGCAGATCCGGCCCTCCTTCACGTTGATATGCTCGTCATACTTCCAGCGACCCTCGACGGCAGTGGCCCGCCCGAGGTCGCTGGTGAGGGCGGTCGGCTTGCAAGGCGGGCACGACGTTCAGCAGCTCCACCTCCTGGGTCTGACTGGGGCGGCTAGCCCAGCGCCGCGGCGCTCCGCGGCCGACAGCAGCACGGCGAAACAGGAGCTTTCCCAGCTCGGTCTCGCGCCAGGCCCCTGCCGGCTGACCAGCCCGGACGCGGGCGTCAGCGTGCTTGTGGGCGCCCTCGTCCAGCGTGGCCCCGAAGCCGTCGGTGACGCCTCGGAGCTGTTTGAGGTGCGCCGCCGTGTAGGCGCCCGAATTCCCGTCGGCCTCCACCTCCGCGAACCGCCAACGCTCCCGCCAGCGATACGCATCCCAAACAGCACGAAGTGGCTTTCGCCCGTGCATCAGGCAGAAGCCGGAGGACGACGAATCCGAAACGTGAACCTCGTCGGCGAGAGGCGCGCTCAGGTCGACCTCGGTCAAAAAGCAGGCGATGGCGGCCGTCCGGAGCTCCCCGCGGACCGTCGCAGGCAGCGCCGCCCGTCGCCGGCTGCCGTCGCCGATGAAGTGGTAGACGTCCTGCAAGATGGACAGCAAGCAGGGCTGCAGCCCCAAGAGGGCCGCGGCATGTCCCGCCCAGACCCGGAGCTCGGCCCCCGTCGCGCGGCCCCGCCTCAGCAAGGCCTTCGTGGCGAAGTAGAAGCGCCAGACCCGCTCGGGCTTCTGGCGCACGCGGCGGTCGGCCCCGCACAGCACCAGGCCCAGGCTCTCCAGCTCCTCCACCGCCGCGTCCGCGGCGCGCAGAGCCAGCCCCGCTTCGGCAGCCCGCTCCTCGAAGGCCCGCACCCCGAGCTCGGCGTCGGCGGCCGAGCCCCCCACGCCCGTGAAGTTGTCCGCGTACACGGCAGCCAGCGGCCTCCCGGGCCGCAGGAGAGGTGCAGGTCGCTTATCTCGAAGGAGCTGCCGATCGCCATCTGCAGTAGAGCGCCGAACCTGTTGCGTGACGGCCTCCTGAGCAAAGTACAACGCCCAAGCCCAGCCCGTCGGTAAAACACGGAGGCAGGGGAACAGGAGCTCGCCCGCCCGGGCGGGGGTCCAGCCCCCCACGTCGTCGCCCCACGCGCGCGCGATGCCCGGGTCCCAACCCTCGACGGTCAGCGCGGAATCGAACCCGAACCAGCTGCCCATCTCCTCGTTGGCGAGCTGGTAAAAACAATCCTTGACGTCGGCACCCGAGAAACGTGGCTCACAGACGCCGCCGAAACCCCCGAGCGCCGTAGCGTAGCCGCTGAGGTCGATCTCCGAGAGGCAGGCTGCACCTCCCAAGACCGTCCGAGGAGGGAGACGATGGCGCATGTTCGTCGCCCTCGCGTCGCAAATGAACCTGATGTCGCCGTCCTTCTTGCGCGCGAAGAACGCGTCGCAGCGGGACTTGATGGCCCGCCTGAAACCCGCGATGCCGATCCTAGCAAGTCGGCAAAAAAAGTCACGTCGAAGCTCAGCATCACCGCGAAGCCGAGGATCCCAGTACGGCTCGGGCATCCCTCCAGCCTCTCGGACACGCTCGGCGATCTCGGGTTCTGAGAGCTCGATCTGGCTCTGGAAGTGTCTCAAAAAACATGCAGCCTCGGCGGGTAGCAAATCCGTCACGGGAGCCGGGTTGATGTCCCCCTTGCACACCCTGAGGCGCGTGACGTCGTAGCTCGCCAAATGCTGCGGCTCCAGTTCGTACTGGTCAGTGGATCTGAGGATCTCCCGAAGGGACCTCTCGCCATCCACCGCTTCGCTCGAGGGGTTCCCATAGAAGTCGATCCGCTCCTGGACTGACTCCAGCACGCTGCGCTGCACTGCTGTGGGAGGTCCCCCGTGCGGCCTAACTCGTCGAGCTTTGTCGCACCCTGAATTCACACGTGAGGCGGCGAGGTAGTTGAGCGTGTCAACCGCTTCCGAAACTCGTCGTTGCCTCTCAGTCCTGACTCTCCACCGTCGCACAGTGGAGCGAGGGGCACCAGACGGCCTTGCGTCAATGGCCACCTGAGGCAAGGGAAAAGGGTCGTTGTGAAGCCACTGTCCGCGAGGCCACCATTCGGACTTGGTCTGGCCTCTAGCTCCACGATGAAGGCGCCCACCGTCATCAGGCGCGGCAGAGCCCTGCTGGTGAGCGCCGGGGAACTCAGTCATTCCCCGCCCCCCGAGCCATCGCCCGGGGGGCCACCCTTCTTCTTCTTGCCCTTGTCCTTCTCCTTGTCCTTCCGGTTGCGCTTCCCCCCGTCGTCCGAAGGGCGTTCCCGATCCAGCTCCTCCTTGTGCAGCCTCATCTGCTTCAAGATGTTGGCGCGGTCCTTCTGGCGGGCCACCGCGAACTCCGTGTACCTCGGGACGGCGGCGGAGTCCGTCGCACCTGTGGGCCCGCCAACGGCATCCTCGAGACCAGAGAAGTCTGGATGCCGCGGGTTACGCTGTACTGCCATCTCGATTTGAATGACCCGCGTGACCAGCGCCTCCATGCAGTGGAGGTTCTTCACGTTGAGCTGGTCCATACAGATCGCGCGGCGGGCGATCTCCAGGAGCGAGCGGTGTTCGTGGCACTGAGCACCCCCGGAGAAGACGCCACTCATCCGCTCCCACTCCGCCTGGTAGCTGGTGAGGTTCCCACTGCCGACGGCCACCGACGTAATGAACTCGCCCATCGCGCGCGGCCCGAGGTCGGTGTAGTCGGCGAGCTCCACTTGCTCCATCTGCTCCACGGCGTCACGGAAGTCCACGTCCCTGCGGCCGATCTTCGTCCGCTGGTCGCCGTTCAGGCGGATGTCGACGCAGCTCTCCTTCCGCTCCTTCATCCAGACGCCCCTCTCGTCGCGGCTGATCAGCTCGATCATCCGCTCCTGGCCGCCCAGCATCACAATGCCCTTCCTGCGCAGGTGGGCGCACCGATTCGGGTTCTCCACCACATCCTCGGGCACCACCTCGCCGAACCTCGCGTCCTGCGGCTCGGCAATCACCCAGGCCAGATCCGCCTCATCCTCAGGGTCGCCAGCCCCGAGCAGCGCCGCGCGCTGCCGAGCCTGACGCTTCAGTTCAAGCAGCTCCCCAGGGTCGATAGGGTCGAAGGCGTAGAGACCAGCCAGCACCCACCGAGGAAACTGCGCATTCCGATCGAGGACATAGTGGCGCAGCTCATTCAAGTTGTGCTGCGTGATCTCCATATCCGGCGTCAGGCACATCCAGCGCCCGTCGCCCATGGCGTGCAGCAGCACTCGGTGATGCCGAGGAAGAGCATCCAGAGGAAAGTTCACGACGATCTGAGGCTCCCGTATGTCAAGCGAGCGAGGCCTGGCCGCCATCTCTTCTCGACGCTGGCGTCACCACCAGCGCCCTCGCAGCCTCTGGCCCCACAGCGGGCTCCACCACCGGAGCGTCCCGCAGAGCTTCGGGAGGACACGCAGGGACACCAGCCCCACGAGCCGCGAGCCGGCCGACGTAGAGCCCGACGGCCGCGCCGAGCACCAGCCCGGCCAGCGCGCAGCCCGTGGCCACGCCCGCGCCCAACAGCAGCAGCCAGCTGCCCGCCTCCGGCTTCGGGCACGTGCACTCGCAGTGCGCGGCCGGGCAGGCCAGAAGCGGAGGCCCCGATGAGCACGCCAGCTCGGGGCAGGCAGGGATCGCGGGCAGACTCGGGCACTGAGCGGCGATCGCCGCGGTCTGATAGTGAAGGCCAAGGGTGGTGAGATCCCTGGCAGCCGCAAGGATGGCTGGAGCCCACCCCCACATCAGAACTTGAGCCATCACAGTTGCAGTGATAGCAGCACTGATGCACAGACCGGTATGCTACACAGGGACTGGGAGAAACCCACATCTACAGATTACTATTGGATACGGAATCCATGGTCCGAATGCTGGTGGCATGCAATTTGCGGCTTGGTCATACATATCGCCGACGTCCTCATGAGATAAAAGATGCCCGAAAGTCTGAAGCCTCCTGGGCACGATCCCGCACGAACGCCCCCACCGTCCTGTTGCCTCAGATCGCCCTCCTCTGACACTGACCCCTCCCTCGAAAGAGCCGCCTGCGCGCCGGTGCAATCCCTAGCCGTTTTCGATAATCGACGTGCGTTCCGCCAGACACATTCGCTAATTTTGGGGTCACGATTGCCTTCTCCACCTGAGTCCACTCGGAATGCGCTGTCATGCGCACGGAAAAGGCCCCTGGCAACTTTCCCTGACGCGCGTGCTAACAGGAATCCGCTCTCGTCTGACACTTTCCTTGTGCAGCGGCCGACCACCCCGGCATGCCCATAGGCGCACTGCACAATAATGTTCCAACTCTAATAGCAAAAGGGCTCGCCAGCGGGAATTCCAAACAGTGGTGTCTAGCTGTCTACGTGGTGCAATCTCTGTGGCGCAAGCTATGTGATGCAACCTCCGTGTTGCAATTTATTTATGCAAAGAGATGACACAGTCCACGCCTGTGCAAATATCCCACCGCCCCACACCCGCTATTGTGTTTGCGAAACCGATTCGGCGGCGAGTGCGATGAGTGCTTGGCGTTGGCTGGTGCATCTTTGCAGACGTGCTAGCCAGCGCACGCTCGCGCGCACAGCGGCCAGCTGGTTTGGCGCGACCGACGCGGCCGCGGTGGCGTTGACCGCTGGGCACTTCCCAGCGGGCACTTCAGTGCGAGTCGGTGACTTGGGTGGGAGCGGTATCATTGCGATGCCGACAGCGGTCGACGCGATTCTGGAAGTAGCGATGATGGCGACAGTGGTGGCGATGACAACGGCAAGGCCGATGACGGCGCCGATGTTGATCACGCCCGCCGATAACGATGACGATGTCGTCGCGTCACCGATGAAGGTTTTTGAAAGAGTTCGACATGCGCGCGTGGCCAGCGTGGTGTTATTTGGCACGGACCGTGTCCCCCCCACCACGCGCGCAAAGGGTGTTCGAATGAGATCGACATGCGGCGCGAGAGGCCCGCTTGGCAGAATTTGATGAAGATGTTGGAACACCTGTGGTTTCCTTAGAGATCCGCAAGAGCGCGACGGAAGGATTTGTTCGGACACTGATGTTGCAACACCATGTGTTGATATATGTTGTCGTGACTCTCGATTTTGAATTATTTGCGAAATCTCTGTTTTGTTTGAAACATTCTGGCATGCGCGCGCGACGACGCGCGCGCGAGCTTTTCGCCCCTTTTGTTGCATGGGGTTCTTTCGACAGCACGCACGCAAGGGCGCCCGAACGCTTTCGACAAGCGCGCGCGAGAGGCCAATCTGGAAACATCTTATGACAAGGGTCGACAACCCGCTGGCTTTCTTAAGAATACGCAAGAGGGCGAGCGCCAATTTTGTTTGAAAGTTCGCGTTGCGAAACCATGTGTTTTAACTCTGCTTCCGCGACACTCGATTTTCAAAGCCCTGCGGAACCTATTTGCGCGACGAAGCGCGCGTGTGCACTTCGTCCAGACTTGCGCGGGGGATTCTTGACAACTGACAATTTGCGATGCACGAATGCGCGCGCAGAGTATTCTTTACAGAGGATGAGAGGGGGGAGGGGGGGCGAGCTCCGGCCTGCCTGGGACGGTATAAAGGTATAAATGCAGATTCTGGGTGCGCAAACGGCAATGCGAAAAGGTGGACCGTTAACCCCGGTGGGGGGGTAGATCCTAGTCTTCTTCTGGGAAAAATCTAGGCGTTGGAATCTACGCGGCGCAATCAAATTCGAGCCCCCTCGCGCGTCCATCTTCCGCGTTCGCGCAAGCATCCCGCCTTGTCACCCGCAACTTGTCGCGCGAAACCCACGCGGAGGCGACTGCGATGGCTGCCCGGCGCTGGCTGGCGCATCGCCGCGGCCGCGCATGCGCGCGGGCTCGCGCGCAGAGCGGCCAGCTGGTCTGACGTGACCGACGCGGCCGCGGCGTCGCTGGTCGCTGGGAGCTTCCCGGCGCGTTTCGCGGGCCGCGCTGGCGCGCGGGCGCGTCGGCGCGAGTCGGTGACTCGGGCGGGCGCGGCGCCGCCGCGACGTCGACGCCGGCGCTCGATGACGACGGCAGTGGCGCCGGCGACAATGATGACAATGACGACTGCCAAGGCAATGACGGCGCCGACGCCGGCCACGCCAGCGACGACGAAGGCGCCCCCGCGTCGGCGACGAAAGTCCTGGCGCGATTTCAACGCGCGCGCCGTCGACGCGCGCGCGGCGTTATCGGGCAGGGGCCGCGCCCCCCCCCCGCGCGCGCGCGGGCGCCCATGCGATGTCGACGCGCGCGAGAGAGGCGCGTTTGGTAGCGGATGATGAAAATAGCAATACTAATGTATTTTCTTTAAGATTCGCAAGGGTGCGAGCGAAATTTGCGTTAAAAGCCCCCGCTGCGAGATCATTCGTTTTTCGCTTAGCGTTTTCCGGCGTTCCACTCGAATCCGCAGGCGCGCGAGGGATCTAATCTTCTTTTTTTTTTTTTTGGGGGGGGGGGGGCGTGGGGCTTCCGCGGCGGCGCCTGCGCGCGTGCGTTCGAATGATTTCGACGCGTCATGGGAACGTTGAGAAAACACACACTGGTGTCCTCTCTGATTCGCAAGAGCGCGAGCGCAAACTTGTTGGAACGTGCCCGCTGCGAAACCGTTTTCATTTTTGTTGACAGGCTTCAGCGCTCGATTGCGAACTCCACGCGACGCCGAGGGCCCCGGGAGCATTTCGGACTGCGCGCGCGACGACGCGCGCGCGCGCGCCCCGCCCCTCCTTTGCAAGGGGCCCCTGAGAAACAAGAAAAACTATGAAGATGGAGAAATGCGCGCGTTTTATTTTCCTGCAATGGGGGGGGGGGGGGCGTCGGCGCCGGTTTGGCCAGGGTCGCGTGCGTTCGCAATTCGAGTGATCGGCGGGGCAGAACCGCGCGCGAATTGCACACCCCCCGGGGGGCCTGAACGGCCTGGCCCCAGGCGGGCGATGGGTCCGAGTTCAAGGCGACTGCATGGCGCCTGCCATGAAGCGCAGCCCACGCGGCCCAGTCTACGCGGCGCAATTAAATTTGACGAGCTCGGAGTCGCCAGCGCCGCAGCTCGCGCGGCCATTCCGCCCAACCGCCCGCCACTTTGGTCTGCGAGTCCAATGTGGCGGCGAGTGCGGTGACTGCTTGGCGCGGGCTGGCGCGTCACCGCGGCCGCGCTGGCGCGCGCGGGCTCGCGCGCAGCGCGGCCGGCTAGTCGACCGGCGCGGCCGCGGCGGCGCAGGCCGCCGGGCCCTCCAGCTCGTTTTGCACGCCGCGCGGACGCGTCAGCGCGAGTCGATGGGTGACCCAGGCGGTCGCGGCATCGCGGCGGCGCCGGCGAAGACAAGAGCGATCAGGACACTGGCGACGATGGCGGCAACAATGACGACGGCGACGGCAAGGCAAATGACCGCGTCGATGCTGGCCGCGCCGCCGAATATGATTGCGCCCGCGCGTCGATGGAGCTCCAGGAAAAAAACGACGCGCGCGCGGCCAGCGCGGCACTATTTGGCAGGGATCGCGCCCCCCCTTTCCCCAGGAAGTATCAAGCGCGCAGGGGCGTCCGCATTGCGTCGGCGCGCGCCCGGGGGGCCCGCGTGGTCTCGCTGCCGAGATCGCTGGAAAACTTCCAGGGGCGCCCTAAGAATTCGTGAGATCGCGCCTGGTTTCAATGGAAAGCCACGTTCCAACATTATTCGTCATTCGCGCGTGTGCTCTGGGAACCCATCTTGACGCTCTTGCGAAACCCGTAGCCTTTAACGCTTGAGAGTTCCTGGCGCGCGCGCGCGGACCTTGTCAATGCTTTGGTTTGGTAGAGGGGTCATCTGAAATGTATAATCTTCGATGGGCGAATGTGCGCGCGCGGCGCCACTTGACGCGGGCGAGCGGCGGGGGCGGGAATGGGGCGGGGGGGGGGGGGGGGCGGGGGCAGAGCGGGGCGGGGCGCGGGGCGGGGGGCGGGGCGGGGCGGCGGCGGCGGGGGCAGGGGGGGGGCGATGACAGGCCCAGCAGGGGCGATTTGAACTCATGTTGAAATTAAGCGACGGGGTGGAGTCAGATCTGAAGGGCGCCGTTAAAGCTGGGGCGGCGGTGGTGGCGGTATATCCAAATTGCTGCCCAGACAGGAGGGCGCGCGCTATGTTATCCACGATGGTCAATGCATGTTCTGCGCTCTATGCGGCGCAATTAATTTGAAGAGTTGCAAATTCCACTGCTCGCGCAATCGCCCCGCCCGACCGCCCGCGACGTCGTTCG